TATATAATATTTCAGATTTACTTGATATTTTTAATGTAGATTTACTTATGTTTTTAAATATCTAGATAATTTATAAATTTATTAATATTTTTTAAAAAAGTAAGAAGAAATAAAAAAATGTGTATAAATTTGTTATCGGTAAAGAAAACTATTACGAAAGATTGAGCTTTACATTTTATTGCTAGTATATAAAAATCGTCCACTATTCCCGGGTTAACGAGTTTGATTTTTCTATCTCTCTTTGGCATGTTTCAAACAGATTATTTTTCCATGATCGCAGATATCTACGTTACGCAAGGATTTATAATGACGCTATAAAGTATCGGATTATTTTTATTATTAAAACGAGACGCTCCATTAAAACCGTGCAATACACGCAATCGATGATCAAATACATCAAATGCATCAACCCACGAATCAGGCCGATAAAATCGGGAGAAGCAAGTCGTGGGAGCGCGCGTATCAGTATACCCGCGGTATTCCGCCGTCGATTTAATTACCGATTAATCTAGACTTCTTTTGTTCCCTTTGAATAATGTCTACGTTCGCCCGACCAGAGATCGCTCGTGTATCACCGCGCTTGTTTTAATAACGACGATAAATCTCGAGTCCCACAGCCACGCCGACGGAATATTCGAGACTATGCGCTATTGCCTTCTTTTTTTGCAGTTCAGATTATTGGACTTTCTCGTAGTCTCGATGTCACGTCGATGGGACATTCTCGATTGTGTTCGACGGCACTGCTAGTGACGAATCGAAAAAAGAAAAGTCTGCGTGATTTAATTTCTCGTATAAAAAGAAATTTTTAAATCTACCTAAGATACATTTTTCTTAAAGAATAGACTTAATTTTTTAAATTAAGATTATGAGTTAAATCTTAAATTAAGATTACGACAATTGTTACATCATTATTCCAATCTTCTAATGGCAAGATGAATGTTCAGATATTCAGGAAAACAGGATTGGATCCGACCCGTTACTTTGTATTAATTCATTTACAATGTACAAGATCAATATACAAGATGTGTAATAGAAGTGAAATAATGTAGTAAGAAATATTTTCCTCTCTGTTAAACAATGTATGCAAGCTGTAAAATAGATGAAGCCATGAGTCTACCGTATTATTGGAGAATTAATAAGTTTTTGCAATAAAATGAATCCAGATATGGTGGACGTTAAAGTCACATTATTCTTTTCTTCATTAGTTGTTAAGAAGAACCTGATCTTAGCGTTCACCGTATTTGGATAAACGGTATTGCAAAAATTCCCTATTAATGAATAGTAATCATTTCGAGGATTTAAGATATATATCTACATAAAACGCACAGATATATAATTGCATAATAAATATATTTTACACCATATATTTCTATATCTTCGTAAACATCTTTCATTTCGGATCTCAAGAACTTCAAAGATAGTCTGCCTGTATTTTATGTATTCGTAATATTAATTTTGTTTTGAATTTGCTTGTTCAGTTAAAATCTAAAACTTATTTATTCTGATATTCAGGTATGGCTTCAAATCAGCTGCTTAGCTATCGCTCTGCTTAATATTCGATATCAAATATTACTGTATTTTTATCTGTTTATTTTACATTCAATGTTAATAACAGTTGCACTCAATAAAGTTTTATTATTATTATTATTATTATTACTAAACTAAAAATTGGCACAATGATCGCCTTATTACTTATTGTACTTTAATGTTATTAAAATCCGTTCTAAACTGATGTGGTAGTGGATGTCTCATGTTTTTGTAGCCATGAATGCATAACTTTTTCGATACACCGGAATAGCAACAAATCAGGAGCATCATCTATTCCCGGGTGTTCCTCGACAAAGCTAATACACGGTGAGGTACCTCGCGGAATAGCCGATGGGAAAATGCTAACTGAGTATAGACCGGAAATGACTACCAGCCGATAACCGGATATCTAATATCCGACCGTTTGGCCGGCCGAGTGCCGAAAAATATGAGAATCGGATAAGCACTGTCTGGTAACCATATTCATCGAATTGCACCTTTTGCTCTGGCGATGCTGCACTCGCAAAAATTTCGATTCGTCCTTGGATGTCCGCTGAGACTGAATGTTCCATTAGGAAGGCTCAACATGTAGAGATATATAAGAAAACTCAAATTGAAGGATAGATATCAGTTACTTTTTCCAGAAGGTGAAGTAACACAAAAAAAAGATTTGCTGATAGAAAATATTTCGCTATCGTAAATTTTGATAATTATTATATGAGCAACCTAAAGCTTTGTTAAGAAAACTAATTATAATATATTCAGTTTATATATATATATATATATATATATATATATATATGTGTATATATTTATATATCGTAATTTATTACTGGAGATCTTACATTCTTCGATCATATTACTTAAAAAAATAAATGCGAATCTTTTTCTATTTTATTAAGTTTTGTATAGTCAAAAATAAATTCACATTTTGAATTATTAATTTTAAAGTACGTAGAGACGTTGAGAATCACGCGATGAATAAATTATTCAATGTTTTGCAGCAATATTTTCTATGTATATCAATTTCCGTAGAAGCTATAATAATGATTAAAATCATAATTGCTTCAAACATTTGCGATTATTAGCTGCTTTAGTGCTGCGCACACATGTTTACGAATGCAATCAGTAAAATACGGATGATGGAGCTATTTTGAGATTCATTCGTATTAGTAACATTTTAAAAATAGATTGTATGATATTTCGACGTTAACATAACGAAGGAGAAGGAAAAAGACGAGAAAGAGAATGAATAATCAAAAGGAATTATTTGACGCTCTCGCGGTTGGCTTAAAACGAAGATATTCTTTAATTCCTTTTCACTCACCACCCATTTGTTTGTTTAAAAATTCTATAACGAAATAGGAAATGTACATTATAATACATTCATGTATAAATTATACAATACTCAAACAGATTTCTGTTGAAAGTATTAGTAATATTAAAAAATATTTATAAAAAAATCGTTTATAAAAAATATACATATCTTATATAAAACATATATTTTATATAAAAGGACTATTTCTGCAATTAGAATGAACATCTGTTACATACATAACGTTTTTAGAATTTTTATTAAAAATATATTAAATAGAACCTCCGCAATAGGAGATAATTCATAGAAAATTAAAATTTTTTATATTTATCTTTTATATTTATTTAAAATTTTTTATATTTTTATTAACATTTTTATATTTATCAACAAAGTTGCAAATGGTTTAACTCTGGATTTGAGTGTGGAAGTTAAGTATAAACTACTACTTGTTATAATATTGTTATATTATTAACGATATGGAGGCTTATAGACAACTTATTATTTACTTATATTTAATTTATTCTTGGAGAAAACTATTTTTATTTTGTAAATAGATATTTTTGAGACTATTAAATTTGTTTAATTATCTGATTGGGAAGTATTACGATTAGTATTATCAAAAAAAAAAATCAAAATTACTTTTCTAAGAATAGCATTAGAGTTGAATTTCAAAAAAATATCAGTCCCATTCGTTATTTATCTATTATCTTTTACCTATTATTAGTAAGTACTTCAATGGAGTAGTTTTTAAACGAGAAGAGAAGAGAATGCCGGTCACTGCTAAAATGCTATCACTGATACAGTATCGATGATAATTAATAATAATTGCGTACCGTTCGAGTAATCGAGCGTCCATTAGCGCCATTACGCCCATCGTCGCGTTACCACCCTTCGCGCCGCATGTTCTCGCTTCCGCTTCATTAACTTTATTATCATCACGTCGTAATGTATTATTATTTTTTACGGATAATACGAGGAGCGAGGGAAATAAGTCACATCGGGATACGCTTTAGTGCACGTAAGACATCTCGGATTTTAAGACCGTGTTAGTCGGCGTCCGCAGGTCTCACATATCAGCTAAATGACACCATACTGACAAATGAGGATCATCAATGGCGTCTGGCAACTTTACGCTTCCCGAGAGCTTATATTCCCATCCCTAATTTGCACGAAGGATCTTTGAGAGGTATAGGTATATCCAAGCCTTCACATTATCGAATTCTTATTTGTCAAAAAATTTTTTGCATATGGATAAAAAAGTTACATAATAATTGGAAATACTCGGACTTTTTTATTTAAATATTTGCATATATATATATATATATATTAGGTGTTGGAATTAATTCGTAGCGTTTTACAAGAGATGGGAAGTACTTTCATTAATGTATTTTTTAATGCTCATGTGAAATAAATAACATTCTTTCATTAAAAAACGCTACGAATTAATTCCAACACCTAATATATATATATATAAATTATTTTTGGATTTTCTGATTGAAACTGGACATATAGAATGACATCTGGTAATTTTACATTTCTCGAAAGCCATTATTATCGTGTGGACAGTGGACATTTATATCACCATTTCTACTTTATACCGTTGCATTGCAACGAAAGAGAAGTATAGGTAGTTCTGAGTTTTCGCATTTTTCGAATTCCTATTTGCCAGAAAATTTTGTGTATCTGAACCAGAAATGTAATATTGAAAATACCAGGATTTTTGTTTTAACTTCTACATACACATGTAACAAGATTATTTTAGGATTTTTTTTCATTTAAACTGAATGTACAGAATTTGCAATAAATTATTTGCATTTAATATTAATGAATGATAGGAAATAAAATATATTTATGAAAAGCCTGAAATAAAAGCATTCAATTAATATTTAACTATTCAGGCTAAATATTTGTAACAAATTTATATCATACAATTTAATCGAATTTTAACGTTATTATATAATTGTAAACTTTATTTTGAAAATAATGGTTTTTAAAAATCGTATCTGCGTCATTTGTTTACTTGCATTGTTATATTTAAATGAAATAAGAAAAGAAGAAAATCTAAGAGAGAATCCATCTAAGAAATTTAGATGAGACACAAAGTTTAGAGACCACGAAATATTTTCATTCTAATAAACTGTTTTTCTTTTTATTTAAGGTTTCTTGGATGAGGAGCAAGGACCTCCATATTCTTACTTCGGGAAATTTTTCGTTCAGCTCAGATGCGCGATTCGGACCCCAGCATACCCCAGGCAGCGACGCTTGGACCCTCAGGCTGGATAACGCCAGGAAGACGGATTCTGGCAAGTACGAGTGCCAGGTCAATACGGAACCGAAGATCATGTATGCAGTGCAGCTCTCTGTGCGAGGTGATTGTCGTTCCACTTTACATTTCGTCCTTCACGTTTGCTTCCCCGTACGACGATTTACGATAGAAAGATTTTTGTTTTCATACAAATAAAAATCACAATTTTATTTAAACTTTAAGAAAATACGATTAAATGTTTCTATAATAACGTAATGCAATTACGTAAATGCATAAAAGTTAGCATAAAAGTTAGCATATTAAAAATACATCTGACATATTATCATTTAGTATAAGGCTAATAACGATATATTGCAGAAAACAAAGTTTTCCAGGAAATAAATTTAAATGTTTTGAATTATTAAAATTTTCAAATATTAATTTAAAAATTTTGGTATAATAATTGATTGTATAGAAATAAAAATATGTTCTTTTTGAAATATATGTTCCTTTTATTTTTCCTTATGTTTCTATATTTTTGTAAACAATTGCAAAATAACAGTTTTTGAATTATATCATTGTAGCAAATGAATGACATATAATTGACATATAATTCATCTTGAAAGAACGAAATAACTTGTCTCTTATAGATACATACTGTATAAAATAATACAAAATAATTTTATTATATTAGAATTCACGATTGACTTTTTTTTTGCTTTATACTGACACAATAATATTTCATCATTAAAAACTTTTGTGTTTCTAGATCCAGACAAACCAGAGGGCTATGACGAGCCACATTCTCAGCAGACACGTATAAGTAAGTATATATATCCCGCGGACGTGACGCGTATTTCTGGCTTGCGCGTTTGTGACATATATGAGCGTGACGCTCCTTTAGTTCCAGCCCACGCCGATCAAATCAGTCGTATATTTAAAGACACGACTGAAACGTGAACAGACCGTCGGTATAATAGCGATAAAAATTTCAAAAGGTAAATTAAACTTTGTGAATTATATAGAACATCGTGAGCATTCAGGCGTTTTACTGTAACAGCTTCACTTCTGTAGCAAGCGAAACGATAGAAATACGGTTTATTTGATTGAAAGTATTGTATAACGTAGAAATATCTAAAATAATTTTTCGATTTTCATAAAATATACATTATAATAAAAAACGAATTATTTCTCAAATTTTTGTATACACAGTCGTTATAAATGTAATTATAACTTTTAAAGCGAACAAGCTCTCCGTTTTAATTGTATTTGCTCAAATTTGTCGAATCGCATACATTTTGCTTTAAAAGATTCGCATTGTTATTTAAATCTTTCACATTTTTGAATAATCGAAATTAATTATCGAAATTTATTATGGTTGCAGTACGCGCGTATTTGCATTTTGTTGTGATTCTAATTTCATTGGCGCTAAACTTATTTCACTGTCTGTGATATCAGCGATAATATTTTGCGCAGACTTGCATAATTAATTTTCCGCGTAATCAGCATTAGCCGAATCGGGTGTGCGCGGTGTATATAAAATGGAGCGCCTGTATCGTGCAGTTTAAAATTATATCATGCAAATTATTTTATGAATTCCTTGATCGGTACGAAACTCGGACAAGCGTACAATTATGCAATCAAAACTTCGTCGAAAGTTTAGCGGACTATAGATTGGTGCATAAGATGCATTTTTTTCTTCTTCTTTCGAATTTATCCGTTTCTGCATTCTATCGGTGTGCGCTCCACAGATGATGAACGTAATAAAATACGATCGGAACATCACCGCACAATAAAAAAAATTTACTGTATAAATCTGTAAAATTCCCTCGGGTGCAAAGATTGACCCAGTTATCCAGAGATTTAAAAATATAACTTTCATCGCCAGCGACTGGCAATTTCCGCTTTGTTTCGCCACTCGGAAAGTAGCGGAACCGAAAGCACTGGTTGAATAGTCGTTAAGATTGCATCAGTTGGAAAAAGCGCGATTAATCAGCCGCGAGGTACAGCGAACTAAGCTTACTGATAATTATCAAGCAAAGAAAGCGCAGGTTCTTGTAATACAATCATTACAAATGTAAGCCATCCACTGTAAAGTATCACTGTCGCCATTAATTCTGTTTTTAGCATTTTACTGTAATGTTTTATCTGCAACAATGTAAATAATATGATTAACGCAATTTTAAAAATTTTCAAATATTTTATTTACGAGTTATTGAATTATTTATATCTGCGGATACTTTAGAAACTAGATTAGAATACGTTTTCTTACTATTTTCTTATTATTTGCCTACAAACGATGCATAAATTTTATTAAAATGACATATTTTTCTATTATTATTTTATACTGATTAATAATATGTTGCCCCATGCCTTATATATCTTTATACATTATTTATCTTATTTTTTTCATAAGTTGCATTATTTATTTTTATGAAAATCACAAATCAGAAACATGTATGAAATTGATCACGTCGGATTTATTAAAATTTACATTAATCGTACCTACATTGGGAATGTAAAATCTATGAATCAGACACAACAGTCAATAAAGTAGGCGGAAGATTAGGTTGTGCTTTTACAAGCGTAACATTACAACGTATGCACGATGCCTGTTTACTGCTTTAGATGGTTGTTGGCAAACTTTTAGGCGAATAAACAGCGCTATTTCTGTTGTTCTCTGTAATACTCTGTGAAACTCTAGGGGGTGCATTATATGAAAGTTTATTATCAGATCTGCATAGCATACGTATGTAACTGGCAAAGTGCTTCAACCGTTTCTAATTCGCATATCACCAATATTCGATATTTAAAGACAATAGTTCCCCGTTGGTCCAAGAACTTCTATCGATCATCATAGGTTATCGTAGATTTAATATTATTTCTAGTTTTATTGGAGCTATTCTTTTACAAAATATAAAATTTATTATAAGATAAACATAGTAGATACATTAACGATGAAAATGAAAAAGTAGAATTTATTAATAAAATCTCGCTTTCAATATAATGAATTGAGCGCCCATGTCAATAATGTATCACATTTTTCATAAATATATTAATAATCCGACACTTTCTCGTCATAGTACATCGAATATCCTTTAAAAAATCATTAGAAGCCTCTTTTTATTTTTCTCGTAGAATCGAGCGACATCAATCACTTAAGGATAAGTGCGACACCATCCTGGCTTTGACGCTCGTGATCCGTCGTCGTCGATTCTTCTTGCGAACTTTCTTTAGCCGCTTCATAATTCTTTTTAAGTAACGTCGTTTTATTTCAGACACGTCGTCCTCTCTCTTGACGCCTTCGATGTTCCAGAGTCTACGCTTTTTCATTTACGTCGGAACGGCAGATTACGAGAAGCTGCGTTCCCTCGATATCAGGGAGCTTATTTTTGATACTGCTCAAAATCATCGACAAAAACTCGCAAATGTTGCAAAAACAAGATCTATATCGTAGTACTTCTTGATTTTATTTTGATCTTTTCAGCATTTTTAAATGTAAAGGTTCTTACTGTTCCCAAAATATGAAATATAAATTTAATAATTGACATTATACTTTATTCTTGAAATACTATCTTATTTTTTGACCTATTTTGTGGTACTATCAACTTAATGGCGAAGTTGCGACCGTGAATATTTCTTTTCATATCACGACGTGTTTCCGCTCAGAACACTCTCCATGCAGTTTCACCGGACTAATAAATATACTCGCGCCAAGTTTCTTCTTTCGCTTTTGTTCACAATATATGCGAGACTTAAAGATAGTCACAGATCGCTGCCAGCTATATTGTCGAAGTTTTGTAACAGATAAATAAGGGGAACAAAGAAAATGGGAGTACAACGCGCCGCGAATATGCGAATAATAATGTTACATAATGGCACAGTAAATTTTTTCTCCGTGCAATCGTAGTTTATATATATATATATATGTGTATATTCAGTAAAGATTGTAATAACGTTTAAAGAGATTTCCAAGATTCTCGAATATTTTGAGATGAAAATCTTAATTAAAAAATATCAAGGTATAATAATCTTTGAGTTATAAGTATTTAAAGTAAGTAAATCATACCAAAAGTTCACACGTTTAAGTGTTGTATGTACAACACAAAGTGCCAATCATATTTGAACGTGCAATTTTTGGACAATTCACTAACTTTAAATCGTTGTAATTCAAAAACTATTACAATCTCATATTATTGCATGATATATGCGATGTATGTTTTAGCGCATTAATAATACACATAATTTATTTATAACTAATAATAATGTTATCATTAAGTTTTATTTTAATATTTAATTTTTTTTGGAAGAAATAATTAGAAAGCATATTTAATCAGATAACCCAAAAATCCGGCACATGCTCAACATGTCGACATATTGAATCCGCACTTGAATATTCGCGATTCATTGGATCATACTGATGAATCATAAGAGAATTTATAAAAGTTTCTGGCAACAAAAAAGCAAACAAGATCGTGCTCAAAAAAGACGTCCGCAGCAAGTGAGTTTACAGTAATAACAGCATAACATAATATTTCGCTAGAGAGAACGTAGTCGTCACCGGATTCATTTAAGTCTAATAGGATTATCTTTAATCCGCCGCGGTCCTACCGCGGCTTCTTCGTATCCTTTTCTTCGTCAGCCGCCGAGAGTTCAGAGTTCTAAGAGACAGGAGTTGGACCGCTAAATGAGTCTCAACCGTGATCCTCGTACTGAATAATGCATAAAAGTCCCGATATTTTTACACAAAACGGAGAACTTCACTTTTGGCCATTTTTCTTTTCTACTTCGGAGATGATGATGAATTATTAATCTAATTGAAGAGAGCTTACATCACTTGTTAAGATCAATTACAGAAAATATCGCTCTCTTTAAAAGTGACACAACTAAAATTGATCTTTGAGTTATCATGAATGAATTAAGTAAATATTACCTTATCAATCATTAAAAGTGAAATAACTTAACTTTATAAAAAAATCATTACGATACAAAAAGAGGGTTTAAAAAAATCGTCACAACTCAAAATAATCCTTTAAGGAACGAAAATGACAAAAATTACATTTGATCATGTTAAGAATGTTTTTTTTTTAATTATTCGAATCGTCATTAATTTTCTGTCAAGTTTTTTGAAAAATAATTTCTTCTCTCTTCTGAAGATTTTTTTAAGTCACTTTTGAAGGAAGGGATATAATCTTAGTGTATTATAATTTTAATATTATAATACCATTGTATGCTACTTTCGATACACGTTCTATAATAATCACTCAAATCCGTATAACTTTCTACACATTAAGTTTCCGCTTACGCTAATTATCTTACGACGATATATGTATGTATATATACTATTTCTGTATATAATTTGAAAGGGAGTTAGCGTGATATTCTCAGATATGAATATGATAAGACGAAAGGCAACCGTGCGTAGATGCGATCCTTTACAAAAGGAAAATGGGATTTCATTACATAGCAAAATTCATAATGGGAAGCCCGTTTGCAATTTATCGTATGTATAATGGAGAACCGAAGAGTTTTCAAGTCGAAGTAATTTACGATACACTTTGTAAAGACTAATGCTTGCAGTGCTGCAGGGACAAGTATTGTATAATGCGCGAGCGCATTAAACGAATACTTGTCCCTGCTTTCTAAATTAAAATGTACAAGCTTGACGATATATCTACATGTGAGCGCGTTATTATACGTTTTTTTTACTACCTCAGCGTTCTGTACTTTATGCCGCGTCGGCGGAGCACCAGCGCAATGAAAGTAGATATGTAACGTTGGCATTAATTAAAATCATTACATAACATTTGTCGAGTATCCTTGATAGAGCGCGCAAAAGCACTCACCCTCGGCATCGCAGAGTGTTTCTTTCCATCGGGAGGAAGTCTAGTGCGTTAATCCCGTTCGTTGAGATATTAAAATCCGAGAACAGATTGCATCAATTAGAGAGTATTCACGATACATCACGCTCGTTGTAACATTGTCAATTAAAAAATTGCAAATTTCTTTGTGCATATCGCTCTTTGTTCGCTATTTCGACATTTACTGCTCGCCAGAATCGAGGAAAAACCTCTTTACATATTAAAGCAATATATGCGCTTAAAAAAATGTTTTCTTCCATTTAAACTTTTTTTTTTGACATAAAACATACGTAAATAATGTTAATATCCGAAATAGTTTAATCGGGCGGATACATGACATTCAGTATTTATGTTACATTGCTTTTCATGTTTAATTTAAATATATAGAAATACCACAAATATATTGGCTTCCACAATAATGATTTATTAATTAATTTAGAGTTGCTTGTCTGCTAATAAATACATGTTTTAATAATTATTGTAATCAACGACCAGAAATCATTTTTGATAAATAGAAGTATCGTTCACCTATCGCGCGAATCAGGAACATAACTTTTTACATGCAAAAATAATTAATATTATATCAATTTAATATATTTATGAAATAAGCAATGCAAATAAACAAGCACATCTAAATAAAACTTTAGTTTTATATGAAATGTTTAACATATGCGTGTGTACTAAAGTAAAGTACGACAAACCTTGCTGCTTTTAAATCAATGCATCGGTTAAGGGATTCCGAGTGCATTTCCGTTTCAAATCAAGATCTTATCCGAATCTTCAAATTCAATCGAGAAATTCACCGTCGCGACGTGGCGCATCTTGGTTACTCCCTCTCAACCATCGGATATACGCGTAATCTTGTCACGACGCGGTCATTCAATTGCTTCAACCACCGCATGATATTTGTCCGAACATGACTTTCAGGCTACGAGAGTACAGCGCCGGTGGCAGACATAATGGGTCCCCGGGAGCAAAGGGTGCCATCAGGGTCGACGATCACCCTGAGGTGCGTCATATTGTCGCCGTATCAGACCCGTCCCATCAGGGGTGTACAATGGCTTCGGGATAACAAACTCCTAACATTCCAGGTAATGCAGCCTCAGCTGGATACGCGGGGTCGCTCTAATGAAATTTCTGTTTGACGACCGAGAATCGAGAAGGACAGGAGAAAAAAAAAGGGGCGCTCGTATATCATCATACTCGACGCGAAGGGATGTGGATCATATAGTGTCTCTAACCGTGTCTTTCAACATTTTTGTTTGCGTGGTAGCCTGCGTCGGCTGTTTCTTTCGTGCGATACGTAATGATTGAAAGCTGTTGGCGGTCGACGCGGTTTTGCCGGTGCAAGATGCACTGCTCGCGATTATCTTGCTTGGTCAATATTCGCGTTCTTTGAAACATCCATCTGAGACTCGTCAGCCTTCTTTAGCGATATTATTCTTTACATTATTTATAATGTTATAACATAAATCGTTTTTTGCATTTTAAAATGTTTAAAAATTGTAATATACATTAAAGCTTATTATCGGAATAATGTCTTACGATTGTAATTGACGATTTATTTGTTAAAAGCAATAAACGATTTTTTGCGACTTGTGACTTTATGCATTGCCAATTTAACACACCATTTTATTATTTCATTTTTACGAAACAACTTATCTCTATATTGTAAATGATAGTTTGCATTGATTCAAGAAATATTATATTTCGCTTTTAGTATACATAAAATACGCATTTAGATAATAAAATCTCAGTTCGAACATGAAACGTGATATGTGAGAGATGTTAGAAACAAAAACTTAAATTTTTTTCAAATTTATTTAATATTAAATATATAAAATTTTATAACATGAATAATGTATAAATTTTTATATGCAATTCGACGAAATAGAAAAGACTTAAATTAACAACACAATCCGTAGTTTCTTTCAGTTTTATAAATTTTGGATAATAAGAAATAAAAAAATGGAAAATGGAAAGTTTTTGTTTCTATATCTCTCAAATAAGTACTTAAAAGATTTTCTGTTACTTACTTCATCATTGAACTCACACTTGTACTTTACTCTTCATCCAGGCAGCGCGCGGAGGAATAAATGTAGAGACCGTTGAGGAAGGTTAGTCTCAGTCTTTTACTACTCATGTGGATTATAACGAGAAAATAAACTAGCAATATCCATAAATAATTTTACTATAATATATAAGTATATTTATATACACATATTTATATATATTTATAATTACTAATTGTATATGTCATAAAAATATATGTTTAAAATAAAATGGAAGAGACAAAACAGGTTAAAGAAACTGAAATAACGTGGTATAATAGAAAAATGTATAAAAGTATATTAGATACACTTCGTGAAACATAATGATATAATAACAGTATACTTATGTGCCTTGGGATCTTCCGGGAAATCTCGCTGTCGCCGGATGTGCTACGAGTGTAGCCGGAAGCCCACCGAGCGCGCCGATATTCTATTTCCTTCTACGCTTGCGTGTATCCTCCGCGGGGTACAAGCATGATGTAAAGTCGTGCCTTAGGATTACTTGAAACACTTTAAAGTTTTAAAGAGGCGGCGGTATTTCACGCTGGAGCTATTTGTCTAGCTCAGCCCCTCGGTCGCCATGGCAGGGATGAAAAGGAGCGGAAGGACGAGATGGGTCGGGAGGGAGAGGAGGGATTGCGAAGGGGATGGAAAAGACGGAAGACCGCTTGGGCTTGCTCGGGCGCGTGTATGTACTCCTGCGCGAGACGAAAAGCGGGAATATCCGAGGGATGAAGTACGAGGAATTGCGGAAGGAGAAAAATTGCGGTTCATAGATAGAAAGACGGTGACGAAGAGGGAGTGGAGTTTGAGAGAAAGGAGGAAACTTGCGGAGGAAAGAAGTAGATATAAGCGGAGATTCTCTCTCTTTGCTTTCTCTTTGCTACTTTCCTCTCTCCATTCAAGCTTCGCTGCACGTCTTATTTTGTTTTACTTTTTTCTCTTTAAGATTGAGTGAATAATAAATGTGACAGAAGAGAGAGAGAGAGAGAGAGAGAGAGAGAGAGAGAGACATGCGAAGGGATGGAGAAGAATGAAAACGAAAGTAAAGAGTTTTAAATAATCGATAAAGTCAAAGAAGTATTATACAAAAAAGAACAAGATTATTTGTTCCATCTCTCGCCTTTTATAACGTGCACTTTTAACACATTTTAACACATTTTTTTAATTGAGTATAGATTTACACATGTACTTTTTAATCATGTTTCCTACCGAAAAGTTTCTTACCAATTTTTCTTTGCGGATGACAATCGTCTGTAAGTAGATTGGCAACGTTATTTTATAAAATAATGCATTATTACATACTCACACACGCACGCGCATGTACACATACACATTATCGTTACGTTTTATAAAAGATAAGTCATTATCATTATCGTTATTTGGAAAGTAACGATTCATTATTTTATTCGTTACCTTTTTTGTAATGATAAGCAAGATATGCAAGATTAGATTAAAAAATTTTTAATTTAAACATTATATAAGAATCAATATTAATTGTGAAATCAATATTAAAATTTAAAGTTCTAAGTTGGTCTATACATAGCAAATTTTTTTAAAATTTAAATCTAATAAATCTTTAATGATTTTTCATATTATTAGGTGTTGGAATTAATTCGTAGCGTTTTACAAGTGATGGGAAGTACTTTCATTAATGTATTTTTTAATGCTCATGTGAAATAAATAACATTCTTTCATTAAAAAACGCTACGAATTAATTCCAACACCTAATATTATTTTTATTTTTAATATATGCTTATTTTTAGAAAATTAAATTGTAACGCGGACTTTATTAAAAATTTTGTTAAACATTGTTTTTAAGCGTCAATGTCATTATTAAGAGTACATTTCAATATTTATTGCAAATACTGACAATTTATAATTCACTTACATATATGTAATGTAAACTATAAGTTTTCAGTATTGACAGTGATTATCGGAATGCAGCTTAGGGAATTAAGTACGAAACGTTTTTCGATATTTTTAAATTTTTATTATAAAATATTTCCAGACAATTATATATAAAAATAATGCGATCTATCGAATAGTTATAAAGATAATAAGGGATTATAATAAAAGTAACAGCTGAATTTGTTACCATAAAAATATAATAACATTATGTTATCAACAGAAAAAAAGTAACGAGTGTCAGTAAAAAAAAGATAACGAAAATGATAACAGCATTATTATAAGTAACGCGTTATTTCTCAATCTCGAACGTAGAAGAAAATAATAAGGTAACAAAGTAAAAGTAACGGAAATTATGAAGACATTAGTAGGAACTGAAAAATGTATGCGAACACAGGCCGGATGAAATGAAACGAATGGCACGGAAGAGGACGAGGATCTGGGAAGGCATAGAGCCCGGAGGCAGACGCCGTGGGATCGCGGGGACACTTGCATGCGAAATTCACGTGGATAGTCTCTATTATCGTGAATTTCCCTTCGGAGGTTATTGCGAGGAAGCGCCTGTGGCGCACGGAGTCGCATTTTTCCCAAGAGCGTGTGTGCGCGCGTGCACGCGTGCGCGCTATCTAACCCCGTGTCTATCCGCACGCGAAACTCGTCCCGTGCGACTATAAATCAAAACTTGGATGACTCGCGGCCTCGTAGATTGTGGATTTACGCGGTTTATGACGCGCCCGAAGGAAACCGTCTCGCCCGAGCGTAACTAAGCGAAGTGCATCGTCCGATTTTTATGAGGGTGTATCGACGTAAATATCGTGGTGGATGTGGAAATCGAATATCACGGACCAACATATAACGGAGGATTTGGGAGATATATCGTGATGTATGAATTATTAATGTTATTGAATCCAATTTTTTTAAGTTTTCTTGAATAATTTGCGTAATTTTTGAACTTGTCTTTTAGAATTGTTATTTAATTCTGCTGATCTGTTTGGGTCTATTTGACCTAAAATGTAATTTCTTTTTTTAATAATAAATTTATAATTATACAAACGGGGGTACAAGCTTATAAAATTGCAATTTATGATACATCTGTTTAGAGTTCCTGGTCGTCAGTTATAACAAAGAGTGCGAAATAATTTTAATTTTTAAGCAATTTTGTGTTATTAGTATATATTTTAATAATAAATATATTTTATTAATAAATATTATGAAGAGATACTGGATTTACATACTCTACATCATTGATTGAATTTGAATGTGTTTATTCTTTCTTTCCTTAGAAAATGTATGAAAATTTGATGTTACATTAAAAATGTTGCACGTACTTTTTAATAAAACTAAAAAATTATGAAAAAAATTCCGATTCTTCCATATTGTATTTTAAAATAAACAAAAAGTTTATTGCTGATTTAAAACCTGTATAAAAAATTATTTTATAAGAAGTAGATATGCTTTTTAAAAATATTAGGTGTTGGAATTAATTCGTAGCGTTTTTTAATGAAAGAATGTTATTTATTTCACATGAGCATTAAAAAATACATTAATGAAAGTACTTCCCATCACTTGTAAAACGCTACGAATTAATTCCAACACCTAATAATTAAGATAAAATGAAATAATTTTCATTTATACTTAAAAATTGTGTTGTTAAATACAAATATATATTTAACATATTTATTAACACATGTTAAATATAAATATTGATTTTAATGAACTGCTTCGTATTATATAACATTCATTTTAATTTATATAAAATATTTATATAACTTCCCCCCCTCCCAATTCCAGTTACTTTTTGAGATTGCACTTGAAATACATCCTTAATTGAGAGTGTCCTATTTGCTTGTACGTAAAATTACCTATGTATTGATAGCAATATTATATCACTCAATATAAATTCTAGGGTTAATTGAATATAAAATTTTGCAAGTGTTTGAATATATATTATAATAGATAATTTGTGCTAATAATTACATATTTACGTGTAATACACTTTTAAAAAGAATTTAAAGGTTTAAAAAGAATTTGAAGGATGAAGTTTTTTTTTCTTGAATGCCTTGCAATTTGGTTTTAATAAAAGCTCATTATATTTTAATACAGTGAGATAATAAAAAATGGAGCAAAAGCATAATAATATTATACTTGACGTAGCTCATGAAATCTCATTATTACTTATATAGTCATAAACACAGTTTAAATACTGTAAAATTATGACTCCGTGTAGAATTCTCACATATATATACACGTGTACGTCGGAGTAAATCTCCGAGAGAATACGGAATTAATTCGTTGCTACCCCGGACCGAGCAACACATATAAATTGTACATTTACTCGTTACGCTAGTACTTAACGCGTGTGTAAGTTATAGAGGTATCATGACTGGAAAAAATGTAGGATAATTAAATATCTAGTAGATTAATTTTTGCGATACTGTATTCTTGTATATTATGCGATTGCATAATATACAAGGATACACAGTTGTATGTATAATTCCGCAATTTATAAAGGTAAATCTGCTGAAAAAAACTGCACACACGACGAATAGAAGGAACCCTGTTAAATCCACTCGCGCGCGGTATCGCAAAACTGAATTTTCGTCTGATCGCGAGTCACTTTGCAATAGCGTTTCACTCATATGTATGTACGTACGCGTACGATACATCAACCGCAGGCACGATACGTACTCGCACGGCCGCGCGAGAATCCGACGATAAATCAGAAGTCCGGCCACTTGTTTTCTAGTTTTGCAGATTGCGAATTCGCGCAGTTTATCGGCACGGACGAGCCGAGTCCGAAGGAAGTGCCATTGCGATGGGATTAAACGGGACAGTGGGCATTTTTATGTGAGCGAAACTGCGCGAAAATACTACTGCTGGATGACACGCGAATATCATGTACGAGAAGCGGAAATAAAGTCATAAATAAAAATTCTCTTATCAATTAAAATTAACAAATAGATTTTTATGATAGAATACAAAGAGATGCAACTCAAAATCTGTATTTAATTATTTAATCAATTTAGTCGATTATTTAGTCAATTTTTGGATTGTTTGATTTATATTAATACTTTATAACCTTTCAGAGTTGATGTTGGATATTAAATAATCCACTCAGTTATAAATTTTTTTGTCAAGCAATTCAATTTTCTTTATGT